CCAGTAATCACCCCTCTGCGGAGTGGGCTGGAGTACACTGCATTCCCTGAGGTAAGAGGGATTTGTGTTTCTGTGGAAACCCCTCTTTTGTGCTTCTGCTCTGAGGAGCAGTAAGCTCTATATGCATGAATGGTTATTGGGTCCCGCTATTTCTTCAGATTCTATCGGGTCTGGTTATACGGGACCCACGCTCTCTATCGAGATGCTCCAGTGGACTGTCTCTTATTGGGCCCTGCTGGGTTACCCCTTCTAATCTAGCGCCCCCTTCTGGTCGAGCTGAGAAGTGCTCCCCTCTCTGTGAGGGTTAGCTATGAGTCGCTCCCAGTATGTGCTGTAAGGGCCTGCCTCAGCTTGAAAGCCGAGAGCACTGCTCCCGAAGAATTTCCCATTTGCAATGAACTAAGTGTTAGGCCCCTCTGTCGCCTCCTTGGTCAGTTGCCTTTATGTTGGGACCCTGTTGTTCCATGAGAAATGTGTGATCCCCTTCTAGCAGGATCCCATTTCTGATGTCCCATTTGCGATCTATCTGCCCCGGACATGGCTGTGCTCCCCTCACTGCGGGAGGGTCCCTTTGAGCTCGCCGGTCCTGGGCAGACTGGGTGAGTCCTCCTCTCGACTCTAGAGTTATGTCCTCTACCCTGGGCTATTGATCGCTTCGGCCGAGCTGGGTTCCTCTCTCTCCTCGCTAGAGGTTGAACCCTCCACTCTTGAGCTCCGTGGCAGTGACATCAGGTAGTTGGGCCACTTGCTGCTTCCCTGATAAGCTGCCTCTATTTGGGTCAAGCCAGGCAGTGCTCCCCTCACCTCAGAGAGTTATCTTTGAGCCTGCCGTTCCCGTCTGAGCGTTTGTGGTCTGTGAGCAGATGCACACATAGGGCCCCTAGACTGGCTTAATACAGCCTCGGTTACCCTTTAAGCAACGGTGTTTCTAAATCCATGCTATGGTAAGTGCACACGTACACTTTCTAAAATCCACATTGTGGTAAATGTGCACTTTCTAAAATCCTGTATGGTAAGGGTTATGCGCTGTTAGCCTCGTTCCCTTTCTCTGAGTTGGCTTAGGCCCCGGTTCTCGCCTTGGGCTCCACTCAACTAATGTATCTCTGCTGATACATTTCTGAGCATGGTGTTGCTACCAAAAATCTGTCGAGTCAGTTCTTTGAGCGAGCTCATTGAGAGCCGGCAGTAGCCCCCCTGGGTGACAGGCCAGGGTCTGGGTTTTAGACACCTGGCCGTATCCCCTCAAAGGAATCTCTTTCTTCTGAGTCCAAGCCTTTGAGCTCTGCCCTAGGCTTGGGCTTCCCAGCCCAGCCACTATCAGGTAAGTTGTTTAGGGTATGCAGCTCAGGCCCTTGGCTGGAGGGGATAATGTCACTGACAGCCATCAAGGCGTCCTAGGGGCAACTCCCATAGCTATGTTACTTAGAGTTGAGTTGAGAGAGAGTTGGTTACTTAGTGCTCGCTGTGGTTTCTGGCATGCACTCCCCTCAGCATGGTGCCGTGGGTATACCGTTCCCCATAGCGACTCCTAGAGAACGCAGTTTGAAGTTCCCTCAAAAGGGAACATCTCAGGTTACGTATGTAACCACGGTTCCCTGAGAAGGGAACGAGACACTGCGTCCTCTAGTTTCCTTGCCATGCTTCGGACACAAGCTTCAGAAGAAGAAGCAGATGACGTGTTATCCTCGCAACCTTTTATACTGTGATCGCGCAGGGTAATGGCGTCATAGGCTGTCGCCGGTCAATGTTATTGTCGTTTTTAGATGTATGCTTCAGACAACGGTCACGCTCAGGGAACCATGGTTATATATGTAACCTGAGACATTTTGTTTGTTTTATGGATGGCCAATTAAAGGGGTCATATGATGATGCTAAAAAGAACATTATTTTGTGTATTTGGTGATGAGCAGAGGCCGGGGGCTAGAGTTAGCGGTGGCCGGGGGCTAGAGTGAGCAGAGGCCGGGGGCTAGAATTAGCGGCGGCCGGGGGCTAGAGTGAGCAGAGGCCGGGGGCTAGAGTTAGCGTCGGCCGGCTAGAGTGAGCGGAGGCCGGGTTGAGTGAGCGGTGGCCGGTGGGCTTGAGAACGGCGCGGCGGGCGGGCTTGCGGCAACCACATGTGACGACCCCGGGCTGGACTCTGCTTCGTCCACGGTGAAAGCCGATCCGGCGATCCACAGCGCAAAGTTGATGTATTTCCTCAGCGACCAGCACGGATCAGCTCCAGGCATGACGATACAATGTAGCTCTCTAATGTACATGTTGAAGTGTTTCAAGACACTGGAAAGACATTCAGAATTCAGAACACAATTAGTGTGTAAGACAATATACTTACTGTATGTAGAGAGTATCTGAAGATCTGAACATCTGTCTCTCCTCCTCTCGTCAGCTTTAGGATCCGCTCCTGTCCTGTTTCCAAAGCCTCTAGATGATGGGCGTGTGAACATCAGCTGCAGGTCCAGCGGCTGGCATCCAGAGCCCAGCGTCTCGTGGACGTCAGATGATGGAAGGTCTCTCCGTCCTGGAGGATCGTCTCACAGTCGTGGAGCAGATGAGCTGTTCTCTGTCCACAGCTGGACGGCCGTCTCTCTCTCAGACGCTCAACTGGTCTCATGTTCAGTCTCTCTCAGAACTGGAGAGTTAAAAGAAGGAAGACTGAACATACAGGGCATCGTGTCTTCAGGTTAGAGAACATGAATATTTGTAGATACCACAAACAAAAGTGATCAAATTGGCTTGAATGCTAGACCTGTGATCGTTTACATTAGTTTTTTCCCCCTGTGACCTTAACTGCAGGTTTTCCGTCTTTAAGTTACATTTTAAGCAAATATAATTGATCTATAAATATAATTTATTTAGCATACATTCTTGAATGCATGTTCCTTTTTATTCCGCTCCACCACTGAAACAATTTTCTTTGATGTCATCAGTCTCTCTTACTTGTTACTCTCTTACTTGCCAACCATCCAATCAATAAAATCTAACCAAATCCTATAAATTTTTTTCTACTTTATTACTGTAATTGATTTGTATTTTTTTGAAGGTGTTTAGATTCGTCTGGTTTCTGTTTCTCAGGTCCATGGAAGGCTCTTTTCCTCACTTTTCTCATCTGTGCTCTTCTGGGTTCGGTTGTGTTCATCCTCTACAAATACAGAGAGAAACTAACAGGTACAATCATAGTTTAAACAATTTAAATTTTATCTTCAGATGGTTTTTATGCAGGTATTTTATTCTTAAGTGTTGATTTTTTTTTTCAGGGAAGAAACCAGCTAAAGAAAGTAAGTAAACTACATGTGCATCATTTTCACATTCAGAAATACATATGAAAATGCTTATATTTTCCTCATTTGTAAGTCTCTTTGGATAAAAGCGTCTGCTAAATGATTAAATGAATCAGCTTAACATCAGAATTTATTGTGGTTAATCAAGTGGAGTATTTGTGTGAATAAATTGGTAATTAAACCCTCAAAATGAAATTCTCTCATTTCAGTTTGTGAGGAGGAAACTATGGAGAGACTGACAAAAGAAGGTATTTGAAGAAGTTTATCTTTGCAATTTTTTTATAACGGCAGCTGCTTAAGTGACCCACTAAACGTCAAATAAATGCTCATGTGCATGTTGTAGCAGAAATCTTGTATTCACGTAATGAGAATATTAGCATAATGTTATATAAGCAATGCATTTCCAGTACATACTAATAACTAGTTGCTCACAATTACAGCTGTAGTTTTCTTTCTCTAAAACCTTACATTATTTGATTTTGATTTTAGGAACAAATGCAGAAGAACCGAAGAAAGTACCAGGTATGACATCATCTCAGTTATATATTCATATACAGTATTTGTAAAGCTTGTTGTTTATTCCATCCTGTCCATCTCTCTCACTTTGCTTCTTGAGAACAAAAAAACAAAAAGAAACCACAAAACTAAAATCTCTCATTTTGCTTGAGATTTTAAAGTCGAAATGCTTCCATTTTGCAGAGTGACAATCTACTGAATAAATACCATGATACCATAATAAGCAGTTTTAATTTTCTTAGGTAAAATGTGATGGTTTTGCACCAAAGCCACTAAATAGGCTGCATACAAGAGTAACACCAAACCATTGCTTTTTGTTTCTTATTAAAAGAAGATAATCAAGAACATTGCCATTATCTGATCTGATTGTTTTGAAAGTCTGACACAACTAAAGAAATTCCTATTTTTATGCTATTTCTATTTCTATTTTTAATTAAAAAAAAAAATTATTTTTAAACAGATGAACATTACGAGCAGTGTGATGCTTGTATCAGACAAACCAAAAACTGAAACAAGTTACTGGATTGACAGAATGACCTCACAGTGCTTTAACACAAATGAGCTGGAGTGCAGGGGTTACTTAGAGAAACCACTTCAGAAATGACCTTTGACCCTGAGCCTAAGAAATTAGAACCCAACTGATAGTTAACATCTAAATGAAATTCTGCCTGAAAGGGTTACATTTATTGTGGTTTACAGAGTCTGGAGTATTTATGAAGCAGAATAATAATTAACTTTTCCTTTGAAATTTTCTCTCGTTTTAGATTGTGAGGAGGGAATTCTGGAGAAACTGAGGAAAAAAGGTATTTGAAGACGTTTAGTTCTTTGCTATACTTACAGGAACTGTAACTGCTGAAGTTGTCACGCTCTTGAGGAAGGAAGGCACACAAAGACAAAGATACTCCAATATAGAATTTAATAAGAATCCAAGAAGAAGAAGATCCATACAAAACACAAGCAGCATACACAAAGACAATACAATAACCGACAAGGACTGAACAGAAACGGGGAGTACTTATACAAAAGCAAGAGAGGAACTAATGACTAAATTAACAGGACACAGGGTAACAGAATGAACTAATAAAGGAAACTAAGGAAAACTAGGTCACTAAACAAAACAGGAGAACAGATACAAGGTCCATATGGAGACAGTACTCCCCCCTCCGGCCAGGCGCGACCTCGCGCCGTAACAAAACAACAATGGAGGGACAAATGGGACTTAGGAGGAGGACAATGGAGTGCAGTTGGGATGGTAACAGGGGAGGGCGAAGGGTAGGCAGAAAGGCAGGCAGATGACCAGGGCGGCGGTGACGGAGGGAGGAGCCAGGAAGAAGACAGGAGGGACTTGGAGCAGGAGGAGCCAGGCGGGACCCAGACTGCAGCCAGGAATGCGGCCCACGGTGGAGTCAATGGAGGGAGGAGCCATGGTGGAGAAAGGGCTGATGACTCCAGGGGGCCGGCTGACAGTGGCGGAGCAGGTGGGAGAGAAGCCCAGGGTGGAGGCGGAGAGCCATAGAGCCAGGGCGACGCAGAGGTTCCGGAGGGCCTAGGTGGAGCAGATGGCTCAGGCAACCGAGGCGTAGACGAGGATCTGGAAGGCCGCAGTGGAGCCAGAGCGACAGAGGACCAAGGTGGAGCTGGAGGGACGAAGGGAGGAGGTGGAGCTGGTGGACTGACAGGCCACGGTGGAGGTGAGGGAGCTAGGAGCCATGGTGGAGCCGCTGGATCGACGGGCCGAGGCGGAGACAAAGGATCCTCCAACCACAACGCCGATGGAGACTGGCAGACCCATGGCGAACCCACATCAATGATGGTGGGCTGAGAGTGAGCTGAGGGGCTGGCAGAATGCAACGGCAGTGGTGCAGAACATAGCAGATGACTCTTGAGAGGAGGTGGGAGTTCATGACAGTCTGGAGGTTCAGAGATGGTGCGACTCCTAACACAGGGAGCGCAGCGGATAGGGGAACGACCTCCATGGTCGTGTCAGGGCAGGCAGACAGCTCAGGGCAGATAAACAGTTCATTACAGACCTCCATGGTCGTGACGGGACAAACAGACGATTCAGGGCAGACAGATGTAACAGGACAGGCATACAGTTTAGATGATGACGGAATAATCGGTATGTCAGAAAATAAGTCTATAAAATCCACTGAGTCCAACCTCAGCTCACAGTAAGTCACAGTAAAACAAGATGACAGTTATTTTTGGTTTCATAGCAAGAACAATTATAGTCAAAATGCTTCTGTTTTGCATTTTTATAATTTAATATCATCTTTCATAAATTATTTTATCAACAAAAAGAGCATCTTGTGTTCCAGTGGAAGCAAGAAAATCTGTCTGTCTGTACGTAGAGTTCATTTTATGTCACAGTATTTATTTTTTGTAAGATTTCCAAGTTTAGAATTTCATATCCCAGATTTTCAAGGTCTCAGATTTTCGGGCTCCACTGTATTGTTTTTTACAAACTATTGCAGTGTCTTTTAACAGTATACCAGATCTAATGTGAACATAATCAAATATGGGGAATTAACAATGCATAAAAGTTTGTAAAACTAATTATTTCTTTAATATATTGATGTTATTTGTAGATGTCCTCAATTACAGCTGTAGTTTTCTTTCTCTAAAATCTCAAATTGTTTTTAATTTTAGTTGTGGAAGACATCAATATAGAGGAACTGAGGAAACATGCAGGTGTGGAAATATCTCATTTTTATGTTTAAAAATCCCTCATTTTTTTAAGTTTAAGAGGATTAATAACTGTTGCTCATGTATTTATTCCTCACAGTTGAGATCACTATTGACCGTGAGGATTTACAATCAGGTCTGATTGTTTCTAAGGACTGTAAAATGGTGAGGGATCGTCCAGAATATAAGCACACTGGAGAGGGATTTCCATATCAATTATGTGCATCTGGAGCCCAAAGATTCACCTCTGGTCGTCACTATTGGGAGGTAGAGCTGGTACATCCACCTAATCCTCCCAAAAACTATTGGATAATTGGTGTGGTGAAACATGGACATTTTTGTTCAAATAACAGATCTGCTTTAACTCCATCAAGGGGTTTCTGGTTCTTGTGTTCAGACGGTCCTCATGGCTTTCACACCAACACTGAACCACCAGTTAAACTCTCTCTGACACCGAGACCTGAACGACTGGGAGTTCTGTTAGATTATGATGAGGGTCTGCTGTCATTTTACAACGTCAAAGAGAGTAAACATCTCCTGACCATCAGCAGCAGATTCTCTGGATCAGTCGTTCCTCTCTTCAATCCTGGTGCAGGTGATCCGAGTCCACTTAGAATCCTGGATCGTCCAAAACCTGTAGAATCAGCTGTAAAATTAGCTGTAAAGTCCAGTGATAATCCAAAAACTGTAGAATCAGCTGTAGAGTCCAGACAGCCTTTAATAACAGCTCAGAAAGCCTGACTGACTAATGCAGTTTAAACAGAAGGATGTATATACAATAAAATAACATCTTACACCTACAAACTACAGAAATCTATTAAGATGTAGTATGGTGCTGGGAACATCAGGCTCATGGGTTTGTTTCCTAGTAATGTGTACTTATAAAACATACAACTTCAACACAGCATCATCAATTCAACCAAAAGTCAATTTATGACAACTTCATCCAATCTTACAATGTCACAAGCGCTGCACATTTGAATCCTCCTGGACTACATCAACGTACACACTGTAATAAATAAAGGTTGACTTAAAATAAATCTGTTTTAAGATACACATTTGTTTAAGAAGGGCAGTTGATTAGACAAATACAGTCTCACAGCAACACAAGACAAAACTGCAGCAAAAAACATGAACCAACACCATCAGCCATAAAACAATGAATCATGGACACAAACAAATAAAAATCATATAGTTTCGCTCATAACACTGCAGATTATAGGCAGACATTAAATTAATAAAATTATAATGGCAACACTTTTACAATAAGGTTTGATTTGTTAACGTTAATTATAACACGGCTCTCTGGAATACTTGATTCTGATGCAACTGCTGTCATCCTGTACCTCAGTTATTGGCTGTATTTACTGTAAATGACTTCACTGTTAATAGTAATAACGTTGAAGTGTTTGTCCTGTTGCTAGAACAATTCTTTTGAACACTGTCATGGATTTAAGATAATAAACAGGGAAGATTTTAAAACACTTGTCAAATAATATTTAATGTCCTCATCTTTACTCTGTTAGACCTTACCAGGATTTTTTTTTACAGTAAAATACTGGGAACAGTGTTTGGCTGTTAATTACTGTAACGGAGGCATTATGGTAACTAACTGGCAACAATGCTGACAGTTATATACTGTAAATCAAGAATTACAGTGAATAATTGGCAGAAGTGTTTGCAGTTAATTACTGTAATGCAATGCAACCGTTAACGGCATAATACTGTATACACATTTCTGCTGAGATCTCTTCTCAAGCACTTTATATTTTCTACCTGAATCTGTGTACTAATCG